CCTTACAGCAGACAAAAGGAAACTCCTTCTGAAAACACCTGCTTCTTCCAGGAGATGCCCTCCTTCAACTACAGCAATGATTTAATTTATTTATGGCCACCCATCACCATGGCACCCATCTGCACAACAAGGTTTCTAAAGGGCCTTACTCTATGCCAAGGAGACAGGACAACCCCCTGTATTTCACTGCACCACAAGGTAAATAATTAGACAATACCTCCAGAAGACAGCAGGCTGGGACACTTGTTCAAGCTTCCCAGAGACCATCTGAATTTGTACTTTTCCTTTTATTTATGCCATTTTTCTTCTAGTTACTGATGATGTTTCTAGTTTGCTTTTATTAGATGCAGGTGTTTTCTGCCCTTCAGCTGGGAGCACTTTTCCTTTTCAGCCGACTCCAGTCCTACTTTGTGCCTCAGTCACCTTTTGCCTGTGATACTGGAGAGAAAAGGAGGGGGAAAAAAAAAGGAGAGAGTGAGAGATACTGATTTTTGCTGCCTCAGCAGATGTGTGTTAAAGTGTTTTAGTGATTCAGCTAGTGCGCCTGCCTGGGGCCAAAGGAGAGGCATTGTCTGAATCTAAAACAATTAATAACAAAAAAATGGGCAGTATGGAGCGGGGGAAGGTGGAGGTGGAAAGCGAGCAAATCACAGGGATATTCTGAGCTTGCTGAGCACCTCAGTAAGATCTTCAACCATTTCCAACAGCAGTGGGGTGGATGCAGCCAAGATCCTCTGTGACATAGGAGCCTCACCAGCCCTGTTGTGCAGACGGGGGGAACTAAAGCGGCTTTTGCAATTCCTCCTGGGTCCTTCAGAGCCTCTGGACAAGGGCCATGCTCCTCCCCAGAGCTGAGCTGTGCTTCCGTGACATCCCAAGCACACTGGGAGGAGGGGAGATGCTCAGCCATGCTACGGGACCTGCTCAGGCCCGGCAACCCTCTGCTTGCTGCCCTGGCCATGAAGGCCACAAAGGCACAATAGGGAACATCTGCTCATGATTAAACATTTGTCTTTCCCCCTGTTAGCAAAAGAAACTAATTTTGTCTGTGCTCGGGCAAGAGGAATTTCCCCCCTGAGCAACATCCAGTACCAACTCTGGGCTCTGGTCCTTATGAAAAGGCCCCAGAGCTGATGTCCCTCACAACTCACAGGGTGTCACAGGTGGGTGATGGGGAGATGGAGGCACCCCAGCCACCATTGTCTCTGGAAATGCTGGCAGCAAAGCCCTGGTAATGTGAAACGGGGCCTACCCAGCCCTGCAGAACACCCAGGCACTGATCTGGTGAGGGGAGACTCCAATTCCTACATGCGGTTTAAAATTGATACCCCCATGAGGCATGTTAAAAAGCAAAACATTGATGCTGTCTTCACTGGAAGCATCGGTTGCTTTGTTTTTTTAATGACACAGAAAGCTCCCTGCAAAGAGATAATTTCCTTCGGCCTAGCCCTTGCTGGATATGGAAGGAAGTCCTTGGAGGTGACTCTCCAATGTATCCAGTATGCCACCTAGCCCTCGCTAGCTCTACTACAGCACTGCTCAGCTCAGGCTGCTGGAAAAGACTCCCAGCGGGAAGCTGACAGCACCTCTTGGGGAGGTCCTTCCATCCAAGGGAAGGACAAATATCGTGGGGGAGGAATCAGATTTTACTCCTGACTCTCAACCCAGCCTCCACGCAAAGTGAAGCAGCACATCGGTATCTGCACCGCCTGCTGTTGCCTGTCTTATCTTTCTGTGCTTCTTGCTCAGGCTTGCCCCATCAGTTCCAATTTTGTCACTTGTCATTGTGCCTTCTGGGATTACTCCAAAGATGAAATATTGGCTCTTTTCATAATGATGCTTGAGGCACTCGATTTCGCAACCTGTTGGTATTTTTTAATACTTGCACATAAGAAAAAAAAAAACAAACAAACCAACCCCCAAAAACACCATTCTCCTGTATAAGCATTATTTTCCTAACATGACCTACACAAACTGGACAGTGGTTCTGGAGGGAGAAGAGAAACATATCTCAGTCATGTATCTGTGATTCAGCTCTTAATCTTTCTAGACTACCTCAACTCGTTTGATGTTCTAAGTGCCCCCAGAACACAAAGATTAGCCCAAAGTGATTAAAACATATATTTCATCCTCTTTATCATGTCCAAGAAAGCCAGTGCTTCTGTACATTACAGAGCATGTCATAATGAATTGTGACGTATCTATGATATAAAGAATGGTAGCAGCTTTCCAAATAACTACTTCTCCTTTTTTTGCAACGAAGAACCATATGTAACACATGGAGCCTATAGCAATGAAGTGTATTAGAAGATGCTAATAGAAACCTTAGCTTTTTCTGCTTATTCATTCCCCCCAAATAAGAAAGCACGTCATGGTTGGGTTTTTTTGTTTTTGTTTTTTTTGTTGGTTTTTTTTTGGATCACCAGCAAAAATGCTAAAAAGCAAAAAAATGCCAAAAAGGGAGGAGTGCAGACAGCATGTACCAAGTGTTCATCTGCAGCTTTATCCTGATTGCTGGGCTCAGTGGTAGGATCCTTGTGGTTGAGTCCACTTTCATAATCTGGCAGAAAACCTGCCATCAGGGCACATCTCATGACTAAAACTTTGCCATCTTCTGGTTTGAGAATCAGACAACACTTCCAGGTGTGCTTTCATGGATGAAAGTCCCAACGCAGCCTTGCAGCTCAGTGAAGCCAAGATGCCCTCAAGACAACCTCACACCACCTGGAAGGCCCAGGAGAAAGCTCCCGGACAAACTAAAATTAGGGCAGCTTCCCCAGGGCTGCCTTGCAGGATCCTTGCCCCACAGCCATCCAGCCATGCCCAAGCCTCCTATGCCAGGGCTTGCAGCTGGGCTGGATAGAAGCAGCTCCATACATGCCTCACCACTCTGCATCCCGCAGGTTGCAGTGGGAATGAAACCTCTCCACTATCCCTCCCAATACTCACGCTTTCTCCATACTAGATATTATTTGGGATGTACTCTTTCTTACAGGGTAGAGGAGAGAAGAAAGAAAGCCAGTTCTCCCCTGTCCTAAGCCCTTTTGCAAAGTGCTTCCAGATTTCCAGATGAGGAGTGTTCTCTCTGCCCAGTGTTACATTTTGCAAGGCACCCAGTCAGACCAGTAGCAGATCCCCACAAAACTCAGCAGCAGGATGCAATTAATAAATAATAAAATGCTGCAAAAGTCCTAAGTATCAACCAGAAAAAACATTAAAAAATGCTTCTAGATAAAATCCCAGGGGGTTGCTTTTCTTACCTTAGGGGTGCCTATTTTGCAGTGGTTAGCTACGATCTAAGCAAAGATTCGGGTATTATCTAATAAAACCTCTGGAAAACCTGCTGATTCAAAGAAAAGGGGGAAAGCTCAGAAATGTGCCTTTCCTTTTTGAAAAGAGGGGTTGAAAAAAGGACAGAAGGGAGCCTATCTTTACTACGAAGCCCACATGGGGTAGGAAGGCAGTAAAACAAGGAACACCTGAAATGTGCAGAAAATACTTCAGCAGGGAAATTTTGGTGAAGAAAGAGTTAATGCTTTTTAAGCAGCTCTCCGTCCTCTTACCATAGATAAGGGTGCATTCTAGTGGCAAAATCCGTGCAATGCAGCCGCATAGCTGACTGATCTAAAAAGAAACCTGGGGAATATGAGGCTTTGGAGGATTGTGTGCATGTGCAGAAAGGGGGGGGAGATGGGGGTAGATGTGATTTGAAATGCACAGAAACCTCACCCAGAACTGCCTGTTCCCTTTTGATTTCCCGCTCTCCCTGGTAGCCAGCCCTGTGCCTGTGCTGGTGAGCGATCTCCCAGCACTACCCAGCCGTCCTGCTGCAGTTCCAGGTGTAACATCCTTGTGCACAGCTGCCTGGGCTGGCCACGGGGCTGCACAATGCAATTTTGGAGATTCCCTTCATCGCACTTCCAGCTTCCCCACTCCTAGCAATGAATGAGCACCGAGGGAGGCAAGTGCGAAGGACCAGGGCCCAGAGAGCTGTAGCACTGAGGAATGCAGCGGTGGAACAAAAGGCAGCAAACTCCAAGCTATCCAGTACAGGGGATGAGCACTGCAAAGTGCTCTCTTTCTTCTTTTTCCATCTCCCCCTACACTTTCTGCAGGGCAAAAGGCAGAAGAAGAATGAGCTAAAACGTGCAAATTGGAATTCGTATGGCAAAATTCCCCTTGTTTTCTGGCGTGCCCTAAGCAACAGCGAACTTTTCCGAAGAGTAATCTAGCACAGTTCTTACAAGCAGCCTAGCCCTCCCTCCTGCACGCTGTCCGGCCACATTAACCCTTGTTGTCTGGGGATGTGGGGGCACAGCCTGTACACCCTCATTGAGTTCTTACCCTTTGCTCAGGACTGGGGAGGCAGGAAGGGAGAGCTGGGCACACTGCACTCACAGAATGGGAGCAGGGTGGGTGAGAGCAGCTCCGTGGCACACATCCAGACATCTCCCTGCCATGCTCACCTTAAGAGTCGAGGGGTGCTCAGGGTCCCCCCACTTTCTGCAGGTCCTGGGCAGGGCACAGGAGTCCCCATCTCACCAGCAAGACTGCAGTCAGTCTCAATAGCAAGCCCTGAAGATGCAACGTCCCCCTACCTCCCTAAACTCACAGTTCTCTCACCAGATGCCCTGCAACCCAATTGCAACCATTTTTCTTTTATATATCCACGTATATATTTAAATATATATATATATATTTAAAACCGTGCAGATCCCAACTATTTTTTCCCCCTGCCTCTCCCCTCCCAATCCTCGCCTTCCCTTTCCCCCTCCTCCTCCCCTTGTCTCTCCTCATAATATTATCCTTGATCACTGCCCGGGGTTTGAAGCCCAGAAGTCAGAAGCTGCGCACCCCACCCCCACCGGCTCGAGTGTGCACTGATAGGGCCCTGGCTGCTGGCACCCAGTCAAGCTGAGGTGTCATTGGGATCTCAAATTGCAGCTAGGGGCTGGCAGGCAGCCAGGGGCAGTCTATTTAAAAGACAGCCTGTTCTGCAGTATTCAGTCTCTTTAGAAACTTCTCCAGGGGAAAAGTGTTGGGAGATCTACAAAGTGGATTTTTTTTTCCTTTTTCTTTTTTTTTTTTTTTTTCTTCCCTCTTTCTCCCTGTTTTTTACCGCTCCTCTGCAGACTTTCCAACCAAACACTTCCATTTTGCAGAAAACTTCTTTTTTCCTTTTTTTTTTTTTCTTTTTGCCATTTTTGGGGGCTTTTTCTCTTTCTTCACTTTTTTAATTTTTTATTTTTTTTTATTTTTCAAACCTTGGAAGAGGAAAGCGAGAGGGTTGAACAGAACCGATCGAAACACCACTTTGCTTCATACCACGCTTCCCAGCAGCTCGCTGCGTCGGGAGAGACTTCTTCTCCTCCTGCAGAAGAAGGGGGAGGGAAGGGGAGCTTTGCATCCCCTCTTCCTTCTCCTGCGCTTTTCTTTTCTCCCCCCCCCCCCCCCTCTTGACTGCTTTGATGCCATAAGAGCAGGACGCTGGGTTTCAAGGAACTTTGCTCCCTTCCCAACCTGCCTCCTCCCATCCCTTTGGGTGCGTGTGCTTGTGTGTGTGTGCGGTCCCATCCCACTCCCCAACCCCTGCAACCTGTAGGCTGCAGCTCCCCGTGCAACCTTCTCTCCCTTTCCCTCCTCCTCCCCTCCCTTTCTCTTTCTGCGCTCCCGCGGATCGCCGTGCAATTCCCCATTTCCAGGCGAAAAAAGAAAGAAAAAGACCCAAAGCAAACGTAGACCCTCTCCCACAGCAAAAAGAAAAGCGGGGAAGCTCTCGCACCCCGAGAATAACCCTCAGCCTGGGGTGCCCGCAAACAGGGGCTGCGCTTTCAGCCCCTTTTCTTTTTTAAATTCTCCAGTTTTCTTTTTTTCTTTTTCCTCCCCCCCTCTCGGAGGGGCCAAGCGGGAAGCAGACGTCCCCCGCCCCCGCCGGCGGCAGCCCCGCGCCCCGTCCCGCAGCATCCATCCCCCCGCCGCGATGCTGCTGCGGCTCCTGGTGCTGCTGGGCGCCTGCCCGGGGCTCTCGCGGTGCCTGGGTTCCTTCGTTCAGTGCGAACCGTGCGACGGCAAAGCTCTGTCGCTGTGCCCTCCGCCGCCGCTGGGCTGCGAGCTGGTGAAAGAGCCGGGCTGCGGCTGCTGCCTCACCTGCGCCCTGCCCGCCGGGCAGCCCTGCGGCGTCTACACCGAGCGCTGCGCCCGAGGGCTCCGCTGCCTGCCCCGCCAGGGCGAGGAGAAGCCGCTGCACGCCCTGCTCCACGGCACCGCCGTCTGCCTCAGCGAGAAGAGCTACCGCGAGCAAGCCAAGGCCGGTGAGTGCCCCGCGGCCGAACAGCCGTTCTCCTCTGCGCCCATCCTCCCGCTGCCCCCCCCCCTCCATCCCCGCCTGCTTTTCCCTCTTCCGGGAGCGCTTCCGCACCCTCCCGCTTTGCTTTTCCGCCCTCCCGGCTGCTCCCTTCCAGCTTTCCGCTTGCTTTTCCACTCCCTCCCTCCGCTTGCTCTTCCCTGCCCCCGCCGGCCGCTTTCCCATCCTTCCGGCTGCATTTTCCAGCGTTCCAGGTGCTCTTCCGTGCTCCTCGCTTGCTTTTCCACCTTTCCAGCTGTTTGCCATCCTTCTGCTCTCTTTCCATTCCCAGTTGCTCTTCCTTTTCCCCTCCCCACCGTGTTCTTTCTGGCCACTCTTCCATTTCCCTCCACCACCACCACCACCACCAGCAGCTGCTTTGCCATTCTTTCAGCCGCATTGCCATCCTTCCACCCTCTCTTTCTCACATCCCCTGGCAGCTCTTTCATCCTTACTGCTATTTCCTCATCCCTTCCTCTCCCCACTCCTCTGTCGGCTGCCTTCCCAAGCCCCCAGATGCTTTTCCAGCTTTCCAGCTGCTCTCCACCACTATCACTTCCCCTGGTTGTTCTGCCATCCCCCTATTGCTTTACTGCTTTCCCAGCTACTTTCCCATAATTCCAACTGCTCTCCCCCCCCCCTAGCCCCAGCTCTTTTTCCATCCTCTCAGCTGCCCTTCCATACCTTGAACCACTTTATCCATCTTTCCCATCCATGTCCTGGCTGAATCTCCTGTTGCATCATCCCACATCGTCCTGTCCATCGCCTCCAGGTTGACCCATTCCTAGGAGAGTTTTCTTCCCCCACTTTCCAGCTGCATCTGAGACCTTTCCCAGTTGAATCCTTTCTACCTCTCCTTCATCTCCATCCTTGCCCTCTCCCTGACCTCCTTTCTCTCCACCTTGCTATTGGGCTCTGCAGCTTGAGCTCCAGGGGATCCTTCTGGGCAAGGCACCCCTTGCATCCCTCAAACCCTCCTGCTTTGGCATTCAGACTCCCTCTTTCACCTTGTTGCAGCCTGCTCCTGGCTGCCGGCTGCTGGATGTCTTTGTTGGGCAAAGGGCTTTAGCACTGGGAGGTGAAAAGAGCAGGTGCATTAGGAACAGGGAATCTGAATGCAAAAAAAAAGAATGACAGTGTAGCTAACAGCCAGAAAGAACACATTAAAAGCAAGTATGAAGGCTGGCATGGTAGCAGTAGCTCAAAGCCAAGCTGAAATGCTTGCACCTTGCACGTGACAAAAGCACGAACGCAAGTGCTGCTTCGCTTGGACTCTTGCTGCACTCCCGTTGCAGGATCTGTGGCTGCTTCAGGGTTGGTTCCCCCTGTGCAACACTTCTGTGTTTCTGCCATGGAATACAGGAGGGCAGGGAGGTGTCAAAGGGACCCAGGAAACCACTTGGCAAAAAAAAAAAAAAAAGCAAAAAGCAGAACCAAGGCTCTCCAAGTCTTTTTGGTCCAGGAAAACGTCATTTTTGCTTGTTAGGAAGCTGCTGCTTGTATCAGCACAATGAGAGTTCACTTCTCCTTTCCAGCACCTAATAAATCTTGATGCGTTTAGTATTTTTTCTTTATTGCTACTTGTGCTGTTATGCGCCATCCTTCAGAGCAAACACAATTTCTGTGTGTGCATATACATCGACATACCACTTTCCCTGCACCAAATGACAAAAAGTGTCCATCCTTCCCTAAAACTGACAGCAAAGCTGAGCTCAGCCTTCTGCAGGAGACCTGGATGAAGCAAGAGCCACGGGGTATAGGGGAGCAGAGCAGGAAGCCAGGAACCCCTTTCCCATCCAGGAGTGCAGGAGGTAGCTCAGAACCCACTCCCAGATGAGCTATGCAGAGCATCCCGCAGTGTGTCACCCGCTGGGTTTATTTCCCTCCATTGTATGTCCGGGAGGCAGTGTGCTTGGGACAGCAAGCCCTGCAGTGAGAGCAGAGCTGAGCCTTGCACACATAGCCAGCGTGCCCTTTGCAGTCTGAAGCCCCCAACAAACCTTTGTCTCTTGGCTTCTTGCATGAATCTCCTTGAGTTCCACCTGCCCGAGGAGTCTGGTCCTTTAGCGGGTGCTCTGCATGCAGAGCGTGCCTGGTCTCCTGGTAACATTGCTGCTTTTGGTTAGCTTGGGGTGGGAGCACCCTCAGAAGAAACACAGAGGGCAGTAGGACAGACGGTGCAGGTTTGTTGCAAAACCACTGCTGGCACCACCTGAACTTTGAGTTTGTACCCGAGTGCCACAGGGGCTCATTTCAGTGGATTTTGGTTGACCTCCAGTGGGGGATGCTTTGCAGGAGGCAGAGTGGCAGATTTCTCCCCAGCTCTGCCAAAAATAAAAAAAAAATACAAATAAAAAATAAATCAGGAATTCCTGAGGATGGGAGAAGGAAAAAAGTCTCTTGGCATTTGACTGGTAGCGTGTGAGAACAAAGTATATTTTCATAGGCGTGTTCCTAAGCAACGGGGCAAGGAAAGAAATGAAGTTTGACTTGAACGCTCCGGCCTCTGCCAGTTTGGCCAGCAGCACAAGGACTGTGTGCTGGGGGAGCTGGCCGGGCCCTCCGATCTATCAGTGACCAAAATTGGCCCTGAGCTGTGAACTCCTGAGAAAGAATCAGCACTCTGTAAAATGAACTACAGGACAGTGGCAAGGACGAGATCTAACTGCATTTCTATCTATTTCTGCGCTCGTGCTGGCTGAGCTGAAAATCACAGATGCTTTCCTCCTTATAGCCAAGGTGGAGGCGCAAGGAGAACAGTGCAGGAGCAAAGGGCTGGAGGCTGGGCTTGGCTCTGCAGCTGAGCAGATGTTTTGCGTGGGGACAGGATGCTCCCGGGCACTGTGCCTCAGTTTCCTCTTCTGTGAGCTGGGCACAGTGGTGCTGAGGAACGCTATGCAGGATGTGCTGTTGGCTGGCAGATGGGTCGGAAATGAAAGCAAATGTAGGATTAAAGGGCTTTGGTAATGCTTGTTTTCAGTAGGCTGATGTGTAGGTAGTGACAGGATGGTCCCTGTAGTCCTGGCTGGCACAGCAGCCAGACACTGTCCTTTACCGAAAGCCAAACACCACTGCTGCGCTGTAATTGACGTTCCTGGTTAAAAAAAAAAAAAGAAAGAAAGAAAGAAAAACCATGAATGAGCTTCATTTATGGCACAAGCTTCAGGATTCTGGGTTTGCTCTGTTTGGTTTAGGTTTTGTTTGAAACTCACCACGTCTTTCCATTCCGCTGCCCTGTGCTCCCGCCAGACTTCCTCCTGCTGACACAGCAAGGTCAGGCCGAGCGCCGGGAGCACGGGGCACCGAGCACAGCCTGCCGCCCCAAACGGGCTGCTGGAAAAACAAAGGTTGTCAAATATTTCCTTCTCCTCTGCCGTTCCTTCGCTTTCTAGAAAGCAAGCGAGACTTGGCAAGTTTCCCCACGAAACCGTGAGCCAATGATAACCAGGAGGGGAAGGGGGGGGGGGGGTGCAGAATTAGCGCTAAGAAAATTGTCTTTGCTGCGTCAGCTGGAAGCAGGAGGAGGAGGAGGGCTGCAGAGCCCAGGTTTTCTGCAGCTTGCATTGGGTGCAGTCCCTCATCCAGCCCAACACGTTCCCCACCCTGCTTCTCTTCCCCCTCCCTTGGCACGGCAATGCAGGATGTGGATACAGGGTTTTGAGGTGGGCAGCAGCTATGGGATTGGGGTGCAGAGCCAAGCACAGGATCCTTTGTGCAAAGAGCTTCCGACCTGTCAAGGCAAAAGCTACAGAACAGGCCCAAAGTCTCCTGTCCAAAACAGGAAAAAAACAATTTTTCTTCTCATCTGAAGTTTCAACAATATCAATATATTAAAAAAAAAAAAAAAAAGGTGAAATCCATCAGGTGCCAGCAAGAAAGCTGGGTTTCTGTGGTGTGCATGTATGGGGGTAGGAGCAAGGGGTGGTTCAAACAGGAAAGGAGGAGCCTTGGCTGGGGAGTCTTTTCGGCAGCCTGGTTTCTAAGGAAGAAGCAAGAATATTAAGTAGCTGATCCAAACGAAATTCCTGCCTGGTGCCAGCAAAGTTCACCGGAGCAGAGACGTGGCTCTGTGCGTGCGTGCGTGCGCGAGTGATGGAGCGACTCCAAGCTCCCGCGCACGGCTGTCAGCCTGGACCGGCTCCCAGGGAGCCCGCCCAGAGCTGTACCACTGCCTGCAGTGCTGGGGCTGGCCTTACATGGGAGCCTCTGCAGCTAGGAGGGATGCTGGAGGCAGGCAGTGTGCCTCCTGCCGTTAGTGCTCGCGTACCAGCATCCCGTGCCCGGCACACGTTTGGCACACGCATGTCGGTACAGCAGGGAGGAGGAGAGGCAGCGAGTCGGCTGTACTTGCTCGCAGAGCACGGTGCTCTGCTTCCTCCTAACGTCCACTGCGAGCTTTGCTCGCTGCACTGAACAGCTTTGCGCCAAGTTGTTATGGCAGTGGTGACTCCCGGTGCTCCTCACCCAAACCAGGAAGGCCAGCAACAGAGGACAAGCTGTAGAGAAATGTTGTGACTTGTTTTTCACTTGCACTAACTCAGGGCAGATAAAATGGCCCAGTGGCAAATCTTGCCTGTATTTTTCCCCAAGCACTTAGTAGTGTTAATTCAAGGTCAGACATAAATGAAAGAGGAATTTGGTTTGAGCACACCTGCCCCTTAACGTGGGCTGCTGAGCAGCAGAGTTATTATGCACAGGGAAGATATGCATGTGAACATACACATACATGTACTCATGTTCACACACCCACACATGCCTGCACAAACATTTAATGTGTGCAAACACACAGCATTTTTGTCTCTGGGGGCAGAATGGTTTCCTGGAAGCACGCGTAAATCTCTCTTACGTGGTTCTGCTTAATGACTAGAACATGGGTGTTTGGCCATAAAGATCAGATACTGACACACGGAGCAGCCTACCCTTTCCTCCCACTGAGGACTGAGAGATGAGATGCAGCAGGTGAGCGTA